CCCCCCCCCCCCCCCATACAAGTGGTTTTCACGTTGGAAACTTTACAAAAGCAAATAGTTCTCCCCTTCACAAGAAGGTTAAAAAGGGGGAGTGATCCTATTACAATGGCTGTGGTTCACCGCCAAAGGAGCTCCTGCCTCCGTGGAATCCGTTCCCAAATGCTTGGAAGTAAGAGACAGCCGCCCATATCAGCCGGATGAGCAATATCACCACAAACACTGTTCCCCCGAGATTGCATATTACCTGTCAAAACCCAACATGTCGGTCATCAACTAAGATCAGAATTTCCATCCATGGCTTCAGTTCCACCCAAATCTTAAGCTGAATGGATGGCTCCAACAACATTGGAACACCCCAGACAAGCATTGGCAGGTTATCTTAAGTTATAAAACCAACCAGAAGTATGATCAGAAGACAGGCATTACAAAAGCAATATACAGATTGGAGTCGGATTCTCCTGTTTTCATCTTATCCTCCAACTATCAATCTCTTCACAAACGATAATTCAGAAGCAAGTCTTGTAACTTTTAAGTGTTCATTCTACGAAGTTCATCATCACATGGACGACAAACAACCCTTTTACCCACATTATGTGAAATTCAATCCACTGAGTCCAGATCTTCTGATTCTGAAGCACACCATGAATATTCATAACGAAAAATGAATGAAACTTGAACTAATGCTATGATCGTTCAACCTCCTCCACAGGTAAGGATCCAAGTGACCAAGTAAACATACCTCAAGAAACGCTCTGGTTATGGAAAGTGAAGCCAATAGCAATATCCCATCAACTGCAAACGAAACCTGCATATATCCCAAGAATCTAAGTATTAAGCGTCAAACGACTATAACCAGACAAAATCATGACAAACAGACGGATAAAATGTGAAATTTGAATTGAGAACATAGACTGGTCGGGCTCAATATGGGATTCTCATACATAAAGTTCCCAACTTGAAGGAGAACGAGTAGCTTTAATGGAGAACTCACAAGTTGGGGCGACATTGCGGCGGGCAAGATGCGGCGGGAGGCCTTTTTGGCGCGCTTGGAGATTTTTCTGTACATGCTCCGTAAGAATCTGATCAGCAGATCGACGCTGCTCTCCGTCTCGTCTTCGCCGTCGCTGAACTCGTCGGCTTCGTCGTCGGGAACAACATCGTACTCGTACCCATCGAAGAACCGGTCGTCAGGTTCGTAACGCCTACGCGACTGAGAAGAAGAGACGAAGGTTTCGTCAGAAATCGGGAGGGATTCGACCGGGAAAACGACGAGAGGGGATGGGAGGGAGGACCTGAGGGCGGCGGATTGAAGCGACGCGGCGGTTCAGGCGGCGAAGGAGATGGAATCCGAGAGAAGGGAGAGGAGATGCAGCGATGGGTTTGTGTCGGACATTGATGAGAAGGGGAGATGATGATAAGGTTGTGGCTGCAGCCATTGGAGGGGAAGAAAGATGGAAGCAAAGAGTGAGTGGTGATTTTATTCATATGTAGAACATTGTCATTCTATTAAAATGGACTGTTTTTCACCGAATAAAACTAAGAAGAGCATTTCGAAATATCTATTAAAATAAGGGGCTATTTGGAAATTTCCTGCTTTTTAAATGGGGGGTTCGCGAGATTTTTTATCGCTGGCGCAACCGCATGACGAATTCGTTCGCCGTTTGAAACCACCTTTCACTTCGTAGAAGCTTCTCCTTGCAAACCCTATCGCCGCGGCCATTGCCACCGCCGCCGCAGGTCGCACCCGAAATCCGCCGCGTTTGGATCCTGTAAACAAAGAGGTTAGTACGCTTCGGAGTTCTCTGTTTTCTTCTCAGATTTTCCCGGAAAAGTTCCATCTTTGCTGTAGAGCGTTCCTTAGTTTACGCTTTCTTGCTTTCCGAGGAGTATGAAATGGGCTTCGCTAATACGACCCACGAATTTGTTTCGTTTCCCAATCGAAGCCAAGAATTCGGTCTCGCGTAAAGTGAAGGACTTTATGTGTCGATTTGCTTCCGTACAGTTGAATTCGTCGAACAAGTTCCTTTCTTATCGGGAAAGGAAAATTTGGAACTGGTGGGTTGATTTGTGGTTCTTGTAACATTACATGTTTGTCTGTGTTGAAGTGATGATTTTCTTGTTTGAGATTCGTCCAATTAAACATATGGATTTGGTTTTGCTGTTCGTTTCGTTTGTCGTTTAAAGTTTCTGAAAGGTGTCAGTGATGACTGTTGCTGTCCTTTTCTGTAGGTTCCGGTTATAAATTTACAGCCAATGAGATGGATTTGTCAGATGCGGTCATTGTGAAATCCGGCAGATTGAAATCTGTTGTTTGGAATGACTTTGATAGGGTGAGAAAGGGAGACACTTACCTTGCCATCTGCAGGCACTGTCAGAAAAGACTCAGTGGATCGAGCGCCAGTGGAACTTCGCATCTGAGGAACCATTTGATTCGGTGTAGGAAGATAACCAATCACGGGATAGCGGAATACTTTCTCGGCAGCGGAAAGAGGAAGGTGGAAAAGTATGCGCTTGCAAATATCGATCATGACCATGATGAGCAGAGGAAGGATGATGTGCTTAGTGTTGTGAATGTTAGGTACGAACATGAGCAGTCCAGAGACGATTTCACCGCGGTTGCAAGTGTGAGTCTGGATCAGAGACGGAGCAGATTTGATCTTGCCCGGATGATTATTTTACACGGATATCCTCTGACAATGGTCGAAGATGTTGGATTTCGTGTCTTTGTCCAAAATTTACAGCCTTTGTTTGAGCTCGTTGCATTCGAAGGAGTTGAATCTGACTGTATGGAAATCTACGCGAAAGAGAAACACAAGATTTTCGAATCACTGGATAAGTTGCCCGGAAAAATCAGTGTCAGTGTCGATGTATGGAATTCGTTAGAAGATGCCGAGTACTTGTGCTTGACAGCGCATTATATCGACGAAACATGGGGATTGAAACAGAGGGTTCTGAACTTCTTCGTGACGGATCCTTCTCATACGGGCGAAATGCATGCAGAGGTCATCATGACATGCTTAATGGAATGGGATATCGACCGAAAGCTGTTTTCCATGACTTCGAGCCATTCTCCTCCTTTCAGTGAAGAAGTGGCGAACAAGATCCGAGATCGGTTATCACAGAACAAGTTTCTCTACTGTAACGGGCAACTGTTCGATGTGAGCTGTGCGGTGAATGTCCTTAGTCAGATGGCTCAAGATTCTCTTCAGACTTCTAGCGAGATGATAATCAAGATTCGGGAGATGATTCGACATGTCAGAAGCTCGGAATCCTTTCAGGAGAAGTTCATCCGGTTGGCTGTTGAAGCCGGAGTCGGAAATGGGAGGAAACTATGTCTCGATAGCCCGACACAATGGGACACGACATGTACTATGCTCGAGATTGCTCTGGAGTACAAGAACGTGTTTTGCCTTATGAAAGAACAAGAACGAGATCCTCGTTACATGGCATATCCGTCTGTTTCGGATTGGGAGAGGCTCGGGATTTTCGTCGGATTCTTGAAACTCTTTGTGGAGGTCACCAATGTATTCACCAAGAGCAAATGCCAACCTGCCAATAAGTACTTCCCCGAGATATGCGATATACACCTTCGTCTGATCGAATTGAGCAAGAATCCCGACGATTTCATTAGCTCTATGGCTGTGAATATGAGAAAGAAGTTCGACGAGTTTTGGGAGAAAAGCAACCTGGCTCTGGCCATTGCTTCGATCTTGGACCCGCGATTCAAAATGAAGCTGATCGAGTATTATTACCCGCTACTGTACGGAGCTAGTGCTTCAGAGCTTATCGACGATATCTCCGAGTGCATCAAAGCTCTATACAACGAGCACACCGTAGGGTCACTGTTGGTTTCATCGGAACAAGCTTTCGATTGGCAGCAGCAGCAGCAGCAGCAATCGAACGGTGTTAATGGAAAAGGGTTTTCCGACAGACTGACGGAATTCGACAGGTACATAAACGATACCGAACCATGTCAAGACACGAAGTCGGATCTGGAAAAGTATCTAGAGGAGCCTCTGTTTCCGCGGAACTCAGATTTCGACATCCTTAACTGGTGGAGGGTTCATACGCCTCGGTACCCGATTCTCTCGATGATGGCACGCAATGTGTTGGCTGTGCCGATGTCAACTGTCCCGGCCGGACACGCCTTCGGGACGAGGTTAAGACAGGTTGATCAGAACTGGAGTTCGCTTCGGCCGAGTACTGTCCAAGCCTTGATGTGTGCTCAAGATTGGATCCGTAGTGAGCTTGAAAGCCGATAAAGAACGTTTCTTTTGGTTTCTATATTTGGTTCTTTGGTTTGTTTAATTCTAACCCGAGGCGTTTAGCTGTGTACGACCAAAAAAAAGGTATCATTTCTTGTATTGTACAGGAATCAAAAAAATAGTTCACGGTTTGGTGATAGAATTCTGGGTAAGAACAAAACCAGATAACATTGAAAGGTACAGAATGCCAATCTCTTCCGACAAAAGAGTTGAACCACAAAATTGCGGCTGTTCAATTAAAACCGGCAAGGGGGGTTTCGGAGAGAAATAATAGAATCCGATAATTTAAACTAACAAGAAAAACGAAATTACAGGAAAAAAAACAAAACAAAACATAATATAACACACTGAGTGCTGCTTTCATCTGGACTTGGACCCATCAACACTCTCAGTGTCTGATCATGTCTTCGTTCTGAGTGTCTCGACAGCACAGACCAAGAATCTGGACTGACCCCCTCAACACAAACCAAGAATGGCCGACAAGAACAGCTGATGTTGGATTTCCGAGAGTTACAAAAAATAATCTGGGGTCTTGCGAGTTGTCTCGGGCTCGATTTGACGGGGTGCTGGGTCGAATTGAAGGAAATTCTGTTCCATGTTCTCTCCGATCTCTAGGATTGCAGCCATGTTCCCGCACCGGTAGCAATAGTTTGGGGCACTAAATACAGTTACGACGTTCTTGTCCTGCAGACAGGAAGTAAGACTTTGTTAAGAACAGCGAGGAACTGGATTTAGGGGAGGGAAATGGAATGGGTACTTGGTCATACCTGACACCAATTAAATCCCTCCATGACAAGCTGATGAGCTCGGGATATCAGAGTGAGTCCATTATTGTGGTTAAACTGAGTAGCGATGTCCTGCCCAAAAGTGTAACCGGCACCACGAGGTGAGATTCCCCAGCCACAACGATCATCTGGGTCTGACCACAGCAGGTCACACATTGGTCCTTCGTGCGGAACCTAAAGGTGCAATAACCAGAAAACATTTTACTCAGATCAAGCATGGTGCCCGGAAGTCACTAAAACAGAGTTGTTTGGTCTGATTTGAAATGGTTTTCGATAATATAAAGAATGTGACTCACCTCCTGAATGCGGTCTAAGGCTCGGATATTGTCAAGTGAGTCTAGTGAAGGTGATAGTCCTCCGTGTAAACAGAAAACCTGTGGAATGGAGGTTTTAGCCAGTTGAAAAGGTTAGCAGATAATATCCAAATAAATGATTCAATTAGGCAGGCGAAGCTAGTGAGTACCTGACTCTCGATGAGAGCTGTGAGGGGGAGGTAGTCAAAAAGGTCTGTGAAGTACTTCCAGACGTTTGCATTTCCATATTTCCTCAGGCATTCATCATAAAATCCATACCTGAATGGGTAATGCAAAAGGAAAAATCAGCAGTCTTAGCTTAGAGAAGGCACTAGCCTACAAACAGTATAAGAAAAGGGATAAAACGCAATCATGTCATTAAGACCCACAAATAATGTTAGTGTGACATATGCTGGCTATTGAGCATCACAATTTGGGAGCATACAGTGCTCTGGTTTTCCTCAAAAGATGAGAGCATATACAAAGTTATCAAGAGAGGGTAATCTTACACTTGAGTGATTTGCCGGCTTTCATGATTCCCTCTTAGAATGGTGATCCTATCCCGGTACCGAACTTTCAGGGCTACCAAGAGTGTGACTGTCTCAACAGAATAATACCCACGATCTGCGGACACAGATAGCAACCATATGAATAAACTATCCGTGAAAAGGAACCAGAAAATTAGGACTGCAATATCATGAAGCCATCAACAAAAATGAGAGAAACGCCATTCTGTGACAAAAGAAATTGAAAGAAATCAATGATTGTTTGCCGTGTAACTCATCAAATTACGCATGAATGCTTTCACACTACAAAGGTCAAGGTAGTCATCTCTACTACTATAGTTAGCACCACCAAGAAATTAGAACCAATTAAATTCCAAATCCTAGGTATTTCAATAGCAAAGTCCACTTTTCTTTGGACGTAAATGGCAAAGTCCCTAGATAATAATTACAACATCGCAATCCTACCAAAAAAACTGAGAAATAATCACCTGTTGAATTGAACAACAAGCAACCATAAGCAACAATCCTCCATATAGGGCAACCACTCCAAAAGGATACAGCTAAAACAATCTACATCAGCTATGAGAATCATCGTAAGATCTGTATCGAAAAATTCCCAATTCCGGGAAAATCTAGCTCTAGGTATGAGAAAATAAAGTAAAGCAGATCCAATCTCACACAAACCAACAGATCTGTAAGACGAACAACTTAAGGTCAAAACCATGCCTGAAAACTGGAAAATGAGACTGTCAGAGCCGAAAAGCGAACAAGAGACGAACCTACATAATCGCCCATGAAAAGATAGTTCGTATCAGGCGCGGCGCCACCGATCCGGAAAAGCTCGAGGAGATCGTAGAACTGGCCGTGGATGTCGCCGCAGACGGTGACCGGACACTTCACCGGTTGAACGTTCCATTCCTCCACGAGAACTGCCCTCGCCTGATCGCAGAGCGTCTTCACCTCCGCTTCCGACAGCGGCTTACACTCCATCAACTGCTCGATCTGGCGGTCCAGATCTCCGGTCGCCGGCATCTTCCTTTCCGATTTCCCCAGCCACCTATCTCCGTCTTCCTCCTCTGGGATCTACCAAACAGGCGACCCGGATTATCTCAGACTCGGATCCGGATAATGATTCTCCACCTTCGTTTCTCGATTCGATCTATTCAACATCACTCGAAAACGAAATCCAAAAAGAAAAATCACATGAACTCGACTCTGCAAATGTATTAGACAATCGCTTTTTTTTTCTGGAAGATATTTAAAAAAAAATGTAGAAAAGGTAAATCGAGAGAGACGGCGGAGAAGAAGAAGAAAAGCGAGGCGTTTTTCAATTTTGGTGTAATTTTTATTTTATTTCCTGAACGTCTCAATAATTTTATTATTTGTTTTTTTTTGGATTGTCGGAGTTGAAAAGAGCTGGCTGATCTTTTTTTTTTTTTTTCCATCCCGCCTTCCCTCCGGTGGCCGCGCCGAGTCAAAGTCTATTGAGAAACTGACACGTGCCAAAACATTCCCCATATTATCACCTTATCACTTTATCCTCCAGTTGTAACCATCTTGGGCCCAATTAGGCCCATTGTGGATGAGCTACTCCGAATAGGCCCATTGATGGAAGACAAACCGGCCCAATATACATGGACGATGGAGCCCCCAAATTTATTTTTGGAGTCTTTATAATGCATAATATTAAAAAAAAAAATATTAATATTTAGTTTAGAATTTGTATACATTATAATGATTTTTTTATATGTCTATAGTTGTGATAAACAGATATTCATAAACATGCCAAATACAGAATACATATATTTTTTTTAACCAATAGAGGATACATATTGTTGTTGAGTTCTTTGTGTATTTTTAATTAAAAATGTACAAATCTTTCATCTAGCTTTAGACAAGTCTTCGCCATTACTTTAATTCTCCACAGACACACAAAAAAAAAAAAAAAGAGGCTTGGTTTTTCTTTAATTTGGTTGAAATATAAAATAATCAAATGTCACATTAATTACATTTATTGATTCCATTTTGAATTTGATAAATTAGAGGGTTGGGTTGTGACTTGTAATTGATTTTTGTTTATTAATATAAATTAGTTAAGTTGTGTTAGTGGTGTTATTAGTTTAAGATTGTTGAATATGTGGACTGATGGGCAGTCAGAAGACAAGTGAGAAAAGAAAGAGTAGTGGTTGGGCAATTAATCCGACCAAAAGTACCAAATAATCAAATTATAGTAAAAAGTCCAACATATAATAAATAATATATATCTATATATACTTGTACATCTATTCTTTCTTTTTTTCAGCTCAGCCATTTTGTTGAAAGCTTCAAAATTCATTTTATTATTTCAATCAAAAAAATATTTTATTGCATATATGGAATATTCCAAAACAATACCTGAAATTTTTAATTTTCATAAAATAAAATCTAAACTTTGTTTTTCACCAAATAAAACCTCAACTTCATTTTGTAGTAAAAAATAAACCCGGAACTTTATAATCTTTGTCTTTTTTAACTCTATTGTTGACGTGAGGTTTTCACATTCTACATGACAAGTCAATATTTTGATCGTATTTGACACATCATCGTCCACATGTCACGATATCCAAACGTCATGTCAGTAATACATAGGGTTAAAAAATGACAATGATTTATTAAAAAATGAAATTGAGTTTTTATTTGATAAAAATAAAGTTTATATTCTATTTTATGAAAATTGAGAAGTTTAGATATTGTTTTAAGATTTTCGCAAATATATACGAAAGTACAGTTTCCCAAAAGGAGAGACGTTTGTCATTTCTTTCTCTTTGTTTTTTCGAGATTCTATGTGTGAGTGTGTAATCATTCATAACTTTAAAGCCCAATATTTATCTTTTTATAAACAAAGGAAATAAATAAATAAATAAAGAGGAATGCGCATTAAATGATATATATATATATATGTGTCATACAAAACCAAAGAGAGAAACCTAGCGTACGATTAAAGAATACACTCATCCAAATGCTTTTAGGTGTATACGTACTCAATCAAGCAAGCCCTGGTGGTCGTCCCCAATTCCCCGCTCTCCTGTTTGTATCCACATATATCAAACTCCCATATAATTTTCCTTGCTTTACATCTTTTATTCATATATATATATATATATATATATATATATATATATATATAATTTAATGCGAGAAAATAATCTTGATATATTTGGTGTCAGTCAATGGCTTCGTCATGACGAGAAAAAACAGAATGAGGAAAAGAGGCCAATATCTAATAAAGAGTTAAAGTTTCCATAAGCAAAAGAGAGATTTTAACATATAAACGAAGAAAACATGCACACGTACGTGTATATATATACACACATATATACACACGCAAGTATGTGTATATATATGGGAAACGGATAAATTAACAAAAGTAGAGATTCGGAAAGCTCAAACCTGTTGTGTATGGGATCTGATCCACGAGGAACTTTTCTTTTGCTCCATGCGAAGTTACGATCTTCGAGTTTCGAAGGCTTATATGTAACGTCCGGGACCGTCTTCATCAGCTTCCTCGCAGTTGTCTCCTCCCTTCTACTGTATCCGTCGCCTTTTTGCAGTACAAAGGCCTCTATCATCATCGGAAAGATCATCGATCCGATCGCAAGTGCACTCAACAACACTTTTTTCCGAAGATAACGTCGGCTTCTCATGGATTTCATTGTTTGTTTCTCTTTTCTTTCTTCTTGTGCTTATTGTATTCGTGGGTCGGTCCAAGTAAATACACAAATATACATCCAAAAGCGGTTTTTGTTCAGTGTATATGTATATGTGTATATGCTTGTGTGTGTAGAGAGTGGGAGATAGAGAGAGAGAGGAGCAAAGCACTTTGATAAGTGCATGAGGGTTGATGTTATTTATAGGTTGAAGTGTTTATGATGTCTTTTTTATTAAATACCTACTTTCTTGAACCGTTGGGACGTCGAGGGACGATTAGTTCCTGTGCATGATGAATCCTATAATGTTCCGTAAAGTTTGGTAATTATCAACAAATAATTTCGTACATGGGTATTTGTGTTGTTTGAATAAATGTAAAATATACCCGACATATATCCGTAATATACGCAATATTCCATGTAATATAGTATAAGGCCCGGTATATATATATATATAATAAACTTTTAAGATATATGAGAAGGTTCGGACACGAATTGAAGTTTCTTGTTTGTGTATTTTCATGCAGTCTACGTACGACGTACCCATTCCGCACGTGCCAAAATACCCCCTCCCTTCTCTGTTTACATTTATCCCTTTCGTACCCAAAAGGCAGATTAAGTTAGCACCATTATACATGCATACATACAAATCACTATCGATTTATATTTATTGATAACAGACAGTACACCTCTACGTTACTGCGTGTGCGTGAATACATGATATTCCCCATGCATACACACATATATACATGTATATTTACTATGGGGAGCAATGTATGGCGGCTATACACATGTGTATATGTATGTATACGTGTGCGTGCGTGTGTGTGGATTGTGGAATAAAAAGCCTAATCGATCAAACAGTAAGATTCCAAGTTCGTGACTCTACAGCGAAGTTAAATGATCTCTGCCTAAATAAGCTTCTGTTTGAGAGGGAAGGGTTTTATGCCTTAATCAATTGGACCACCCTTTATATCTTAGGATTCATGCATGCAGAAGTATAATAAATAAAGATGACAATGACTTAAAAAAAGAATAGACAAAAAAAAAATTATGTTGATGCAACTCTAAAGCAGGTTCCTTTGGAATATATATATATATGTGTATCACACGCACATACATATATATCTATATATAGCAGCCATAATTGATCCATATAGTATATATATGGGTATATCATATGGTACACATTTCATATCATCCATGCCAATTTACAGTGATATATACATGCATGAATCTCACGTCAAATTGATTTGTCTCTTATATGGAAAAAAAACATTTGGCCCGAGAATCATATGCCTTTATACACTATATATATATATATATGATATTCGTATATATATAATGATCGATCGATAGACATAGGGTCCCCACACCATAGGAGATGAATCATATGCCCACTCAATCTCCCCAATAAATTATTTTCTTGTTCCAATATCACAATGCTTCTTTTTTGTTGTCCGGATTGCTTGTCCGGATTGCATGCCGTTCACTGATTGCAAATAAACTATGAACTCCGTGCCGTTTTTAAAAATTCTTGTTGACTATCTCGTCGTTCGTGGACAGATAGAAAAGGGCACTCTTCGAGTGGCGCATATAAGCTCCAAAGACCAACTTGCTGACATTCCGACGAAGCCATGGCCGCGACAGTTACTCACAGACTTGGGCATCATGATCGGAATCACCGTCTTACGGAAGGAAAAAGGAACTAATATATTCTATACATATTTCTACGCCCCATCCTTAGAACTTGCCTTGCCCGCTAGGTTTAATCTCGTCATTCTCCTTTGTATAAGGATCTGCAATACCTCTGCAATGCACGGCCGAACACATTCCTTCCTCTCTTTGTAATCTGTTATATTTTCGAACGCGATTTTGGTATTCGATCGCAGATGGGTTCGAGGCTCGAGTGGGACGTCTTCCTCAGTTTCCGAGGCGAGGACACGCGCCACACCATTACGGCGCGTATCTACGACGCGCTCAAGGAGCAGGTCAGTGTGTTCCGCGACAACGATGCCCTGAGACGCGGCGACGAGATCGCTCCGAGTCTTGTGGAGGCGATCGAGGACTCGGCGACCTCCGTCGTCGTCTTCTCCCGGAGGTACGCTGACTCTCACTGGTGCCTCGAGGAACTGGCCAAGCTCTGCGATCTCAGATCATCCCTTGGCCGGCCGATGTTACCCATCTTTTACGAGGTCGATCCCTCCCATATCCGCAAACAGAACGGCCATTTCGCCAAGGATTTCGAAGAGCACGAGAAAAGATTCGACGTGGAGAAGGTACAGAGATGGAGGAAAGCTATGAATTTAGTCGGCAATATCGCTGGGTTTATGTACAAGTACGCCATTTAGGTTTCTTCAAGCTTAATGTTATGTTTTCTTCTTCTTCGTCAAATCCCTGCATACATATCTTAACATTCAGATGTTTCGAAATGAAGCGTTGACAGAAATGACTCGGAAGATGACATCATAGAACGTGTTGTGAAGAGGGTATTAGCTGAACTGAGCAATACACCGGAGAAAGTGGGAGAGTACACGGTTGGGCTCGAGCCGCGACTGGGAAAGTTGATGAAGCTGCTGGACATGGAATCCAATTCTGACGTTCAAGTTCTTGGGCTCTACGGCATGGGTGGCATTGGCAAGTCAACCCTTGCAAAGGCCCTATACAACAAGATCGTGGGTAATTTCAAGCACCGAGTTTTCTTGTCAAATGTTAGAGAAAGATCATCAGAACAAGATGGTATGATCTCCCTGCAAAAAATATTAGTCAATGAGCTGTTCCATGGCATCCCTCAAATCGATGATGTCAACAGTGGCAAAGACTTGATAAAAGAAAGAGTCCATGACAAGAAGATTCTTGTGGTTTTAGATGATGTTGATCATGTAAATCAGGTTGCTTCACTGATTGGAGAAAGAAGATGGCATGGTGAAGGAAGTGTACTTGTCATCACCACCAGAGAGGAAAATATTTTGAGTCTGTTCAATGTCGACCGACACTACGAGGTCAGTTGCTTGGACGAGTCAGAGGCATTGAAGCTATTTAGTTACCATGCACTACGGAAAGAGAAACCGACAGATAGACTATTGCAGTTGTCCAAGGATATTGTCTCATGGACAGGACATTTGCCATTGGCTTTGGAAGTGTTTGGTTCTCTTTTGTATGACAAGAGGGAGGAAAGGGAATGGCGAGCTCTGTTGGAGAAGCTGAAAAATATCCAACCAAAAAATCTTCAAGATGTCCTGGCAGTGAGTTACCACACTTTGGACAATGAAGAACAGTGTGTGTTTCTCGACATTGCTTGTCTCTTTATCAGAATGGAGATAACAAAAGAAGACATCATAGACATTCTGAAAGGATGCGGGTTTAACGCAGAGGCAGCACTCAATGTCCTGAAACAGAAATCTCTTGTCAAGATCATGGAGGATGATACTCTGTGGATGCATGATCAGATTAGAGACATGGGAAGGACAATTGTCCTAAATGAAAACATTACTAATCCTGGAATGCGAAGTAGGCTCTGGAATCGTGCTGAGATTATGACTGTCTTGAGGAAGAGAGAGGTATGAGCAATTAGATTGATGAATAACGTTTTTTTTTAACATTTGTGTTTTGACTCTGTACTGGAATAGCAGGGAACAAGATCCATCCATGGGATTGTATTTGATTTCAAGAAGAAGTTTGTGAGAGACCCGAGTGCGGATGAAATAGCATTGAGGAAACTCCAGGCCAAGCCCAACATCTGCTCAGTGTTTGATTACCTGAGGACGAGATTTAGAAAACGCCGGCCTGAGGAAAAACCAGAAAATGATGAGATCTGCATTAGTGTAGAGCCTTTTAAAGAAATGACTAATTTGAGTTTGCTTCAGATTAATCACGTGAAACTGGAAGGCAAGCTTAAACTTCTCCCACCTGAACTCAAGTGGTTACAGTGGAAAGGATGCCCTTTGGAAAAGCTTCCTTCAGATTTCCATGGAGGGCAACTCTCTGTTCTTGATCTTTCAGAAAGTAGAATAAGACAAGTCTGTGGTTTGAGCAGCAAAGGGGTACGCTTTGTTATTCCCATTATAACATGGAGAGAGTTTATATTCCACTTATTATCTTAACTGCTAAAAGATCATACCACAACAAGAATTCTTTCTGGCTTTCAGGTGGCTGAGAGCTTGAAGGTTGTGAATTTGCGTGGCTGCCACAGTTTAGAGATGGTTCCTGATTTATCAAAGCAAAAGGCACTGGAGAAGCTTGTCCTTGAACGGTGCAATCGTCTGGTGAAGATTCATAAATCTGTCGGTAATCTGAGAACATTGCTCCACCTGAATCTCGGAAATTGTCCTAACCTTTCTGAATTTGTTACGGATGTTTCTGGTCTGAAGCATCTAGAAAACCTTATCCTCTCCGGTTGTTCAAAGCTGAGAGAGTTGCCAGAAAACCTCGGTGACATGCAATGTCTGAAAGAGCTTCTAGTGGATGAAACTGCCATTACAAAGTTACCCGAATCTATATTCCGTCTTGAAAGCCTTGAAATGCTAAGCCTGAAGGGTTGCAGATCTATAAAAGGGCTACCAGTATGCATTGGAACATTGATATCTCTGAAAGAACTAAACCTTAATGACACTGCACTGCAGGATCTGCCAAGTTCAATTGGACATTTGAAAAATCTTCAGAGGCTGAGTTTGATGCGGTGTGCATCGCTTCATATGATCCCCGACACTATCGGTGAGCTTATATCGTTGAAGGAACTATTCATCAACGGTAGCGGAGTGAAGGTGCTACCTTTCTGCCTCGGTTCCTTGCCATGTTTGGCTGACTTGTCAGCGGGAGAATGTAAATTGCTGAAACAGCTGCCTGGTTCAATCGGGGGATTAAACTCTCTTTCTCAACTTCAGTTGGATAGAACACCGATCGAAAATCTACCGGAAGAGATATGTGACTTGCCCTTCATTCGCAGACTTGAGTTGAGGAATTGCGAATTTCTCAGCTTTCTCCCCGAGTCGTTTGGAAACATGGACACACTCCACGGATTATACCTCGAAGGATCTAACATTGAGGAATTGCCAGAGTCTATAGGCAAGCTGGAAAACCTTGTGATACTCCGAATGAACAAATGTAGAAGGCTCCGGAAGCTTCCGGAATCATTTGGAGACTTGAAGTCTCTTCACCATCTTCACATGCAGGAAACTCCTGTCATAGAGTTGCCTGAAAGCTTTGGAAAGCTCTCAAACCTAATGGTCCTGAAAATGCTCAAGAAGCCTCTTTTCAGAAGTCTCAGCAACAATGTCTCCGAGGCTGCAAGTCCAGGCAGAGAACCTCGGTTTGTAAAACTGCCAAACTCTTTCTCAAATCTATCCCTTCTCGAAGACCTAGATGCTCGTAGTTGCAGAATATCGGGCAATCTCCCGGATGAATTTGAGAAACTGTCCTCTCTGAAGAGCTTGGATCTGCGCAATAACTATATTCACAGCCTGCCGTCTAGCCTCAAGGGATTATCTAATCTCAGAGAGCTTTTGTTGTATGACTGCCAAGAGCTTAGGTCTCTTCCCTGTCTTCCATCAAGCCTGGAGAAGCTGGACCTGACCAACTGCTTCTCACTGGAACGTATAGATGACATCTCAAATCTGGAGTTGTTGCACTATCTCAGTCTCACAAACTGCCAGAGAGTTGTCGACATTCCAGGTCTCGAGCGCTTGAAGGCCCTGAAACGGCTGTACCTGGCTGGCTGCAACGCTTGCTCCATTGCAATAAAGAGAAGACTTTCCAAGGTGATTCCTCACTTTCACACGACCTTAATTCCATCTGGGTTTTGTTGAATCCTTTTGTAAAACCTGTCTGAATCCTTTGTCACAGGTTTATCTGAGAAACCTGAGGAATCTTAGCATGCCCGGAAGCAGGATCCCGGATTGGTTCTCACAGGACACCGTCACATTCTCAGCCCACCCGAACAGAGAACTCAGAGGCGTAATTCTGGCTGTTGTGGTGGCTCTTAACCACGGAAGTTCAGATGATTACCAATTGCCATCTGTGGTGGGAATTCAAGCCCAAGTCCTCAAACTTGACCTGCCCTTATACACCCACACGTTGCAGCTCTTTGGAGTGCCCAGAACGAACCGAGATCAACTCCATATTTGCCGGTACCCTGCGTTTCATCCAATGGTTGCATCCTTGAAAGACGGTTACAAGATACGGGTGATAAAAAAAGATATGCCATTCAAACTCGGTGTCGAGCTAAAGATGCATGGGATTCATCTGGTTTACGAGGATGATGATGATTACAAAGGAGATGAACATCTACTGAACGAGACACAGCAAACGGTTTCACAGAAACTTGCCAACTTCTACAGATCATTCGAAGAAGGTGAAGATTCTGAATCTACACCTACATGATCAACTGCCGAAAATCAAAGAGGAAAAACCCTAGAAGAGGTTGTCCATATGTGAAAGTGAAACACTGTCATTGAAGAAAATATCAAAACATTCCTAAAGTTGTATTACAAAACTCAAGCTTTACTTGCATACCAGAAAGTGTTGTGGTATTAAAACCGAGAGTTGCTTTGTGATCTCGCCATGGATACACCAGACATTGCAACTGTCCGTCTCTTTCTTATGTAAATTGCTGTTCCACTGATAAGCAACATTCCCACCATAATTCCCTGTCCATGTTTTTGCATTATCCATTTTAGCCGAAATGTATCATTCACATCCAAGATCAGTAAAAATAAAAGAAAAATTCACGTTAAGTGCTGATCTGAACATTTCCATACCTCAAAAACCAATGACTGATAATTCCTCCACATCTGCCCTCGGGACACAACTTCTGTAAGTGATATCAGTTTGAGATCTCCATTTCGATGGTGGTGAATCGTCCAGTAAGTTTCTGGGTTTTGTCGGCATGGAAATGTCATGTTCATCATGCGGAAGAACATCCGAATTCACGCTACCAAGGGATGTTTCGAGAGTGGATCGACCATTTTGAGTGTTACCTTTCGTGATCTCTATACATTTGAAAGGAATGCGATAGCCGGTTTCACTGCAACGATATTTCTCGCTGTTCTAAAGAAATAATTCAAACAGATAAGGAATCAGTCATCAACCCTCCAATAGACAATACTAGAGAAAAGACCAAGAAACAGAAACCGAATCACGAAGAGCGACAGAAGAAATAAATCATGCTCTTCATTCGAATCTTCCAGTCCAGCAAAGGGATTCAAAGTCTAGAACTCCGAAATGGAAACCCAGCCAGCTAGTTGACGCAACCTAAATTAAACAATCTCAGACCAAATCCTAAGAGCGCTTAAACCCTAAAACTTTGCTCTTTTCCAGTTAAAATTAATGTCCTTTGTGATCATAATGCATTCGAGTAACGAAAGCTTTGACACTGATTCTAAAAACTCGTGACTAAATATCAAGAAAAACTCAGTGGGAGATGCAGGCATTAACGTTGGTCTTCTGAGATGGTTATGATCAGAATGGTATCCCGCGATCAAGACAACTGGCGATTCAAATCCAATGTCAATACAGTGCCGATGGCCATGGGTACATAAGAAATCGAAGGTATGAACAGAATAATTTGATTATTTCCACTCTAGATTCAAGACTCCATCAAATTCATCAGGGAAGAGCCACATCATATAAATCAAATTGGAAAGAAAAAAAAAACCACAACAAATAGCAGAAAATTAAGCAAACCCGATTGACAAGTAAGGCTGATAAAGGCGAAGATGGGACGAAGCATGAACCTTTTCAGAGTAGATGCACGAAAAACAAGGATCGGAAGGAGAGCACTCGAAAGTGACATTGCTTCCTCGAGGAGTTTCTTTGAAACCCAGTAGAGATCTACGACCAACGCTCTGTTGATGTAGAATGAAAAACAGTGTTCGTGGGCTGCGGCGCCAAAAGAGACTGATATTGAAGCTGTACAGATGAAGATGATGAAGAAGAACCGTGAAAGGCTTAGAGGAGCCATTTTTGCTCTCCCTTCGTCGCCCTCGCCGTTTTCGTGGAGAAGAAAGGAGAAGATTCGCAGAAAAGCCCCAATATTATAGTTATTTATGTATTCACCCTTTTTCTAAACAAAGTAGGAAAAATTCGAATTTGAAATGCTATATATGTTTTGTATCTATTTCACCGGTTGACTATCAAATGTTACTCATATCTAGTGAGATTGGTGGGGAGATGGGTCTAGAGCTCTTGCAGGATAATGCCCATAGAGAAGCAGACATTATTATCTTACCATAAATCTCTCTCTCTCTCTGCCTTAAGCTTTGTTGGATGCTAAATCTCTCTCTCTCTCTGCCTTAAGCTTTGTTGGATGCTTGAATTCCAATAATCGTATGACAATGAATGAGAAGACTTACCACATATGGTGTGAGTGGTTGAGGTAGCCAAAAAAAGAAAAGAAAAGATGCCATTTTCAGCACTTCCACTGCCCAAAAGAGGACAACCTTTCCACAAGTTACTCACCATCTTGTTTGTTGAAGATCAATGGAAATTCGTCGAAATGATCGGTGGTAAGACCATGTTTATCCGCCATGTTCTTCAGACATTCATAAACATGGCACATTGATGGTCTCTCCTTTGGCCTGGAGACAACGCAGCTACATGCAGTTTTCAGAAACTGCATTATCTCGTCATCATAGCCCCTGCCAAAAATGTTTCTGTCAATGGCCTCTTTGCTTCTACCGGTGCTCAAAAACTGGCTGACCCAATCCACCAAACTCCCTTTAAACCCTTCCTCTCCATTGATGGCAGAGAGAGGCTTTTGCCCCGTGACCAGTTCCAGAAGCACGATCCCGAACCCGTACACATCTCCTTTCAAGGACGTGACCTTTGTGCTCGAGTACTCTGGAGCCATGTAACCTAACTCCCCTAGATCACCATTGTTGAACGAGCTATCGTCTTTTGAATCACGAGATGCAGCCACCAGCCTTGCCAGCCCGTAATCCGTAACTCGAGCGTCAAGATCTTCGTCGAGGAGAATCACATTGGAGCTAATGTATTGATGGGTATATGGCGGTTGGCAGCCATGGTGCAGCCATGCTAGCCCTCTGGCTGCGCCTACACTGATCCTAAGCCGCGCTGGCCAATCCAAACCGCCTCCATGGCCGTGCAATTGAGAGTAGAGTGTTCCATTGGGCATGTGCTTGTAAACCAGCAATCTCTCATCTTCCACGACACAAAAACCTAAAAGTGGAACCAGATTCGGATGCCTGAGTTGACCTAACCGGTTCATCTCCGACCTGAACTGTTTCTCTCCAAGCCCACAACAGCTAAGCCTCTTGACCGCAAGAGCTGATCCATCAGGTAAAACAGCTTCGTACGAGACGCCAGTTCTCGTGGAAACAACTAAATTCCCAGAATTGAAATTGTTCGTCGCCGCCATTAAATCAGCCAACTTGATCTTCACAATGGGTTTCTGAAACAAAGTTACCTGAACGAGCTTGTGTGATCTCAGTAAATCGATCCAGTCACCATCTTCCTTCGATTTTCCGACGCCGTAACCCTTCTTCTTCCTGCCACCTTCTCTGATGAAGAACCACCACAGTATCGCAAAACCCACGACCAGTGACCCAACAGCGCCGATAATTCCGGCGACAATGATAATTGTTAGGTTTTTACCGCTCAACGAGCCACATCCCGACAAGGGTTTTCCGCAAAGTCCGTGATTTCCGCTAAAGTCTCCTTCTTCGAACTTCGAAAGCTCCGACGGGATCGGACCTGAGAGATCGTTGTCGGCGAGGGAAAGACGCCTGAGTCTGTCCAACCGACTGAGCTCCGTTGGGATCGAACCGGAGAGCTTATTGTCGTTAAGAGCCAGGCTGTTAAGGAACTTGCAATCCACGATCTGGGCCGGGATCGAACCGCCTAGTTTGTTGCCGGACAGATCCAGAGTGACGAGGTATGGCAGCCACGAGCAGATTTGGGAAGGAATCGGACCTGAAAGATCATTGTCGGAGAGATCCAGGGACTGCAAACTTCGACAGAACTTGAGCGACTCGGGGATCTGACCCGCAAGCTGCATGGACTGGAGCTGCAGAGAGATGATGCGATTCTCCTTCTCGTTCCAGCAAGAGACACCGGTCAGCTTGCAAACCGACACAGCCGACGAGCTCGAGTTGGAGAAGGACCAGCCACTGAGTCGACCCGACGGGTCTTTGAGCGAGTTCTTGAGGCCTTCGAGGCACAGTACATCGTCTTCAAGAGAAGAACACGGAAATGGGCTAACAAGTATAAGAAGACAAAAAAAGGTGAAGAAGATCGTCTCCTTCATGATGGCTACGGGTCAATTCTCAAGGGTTCCCTACAGAGAAGTAAGTACAAACTGCTTCTATGGCGGAAATACGGCCATTGACAGTGCAGAAGGCACCGCTGACGAAAATAAATTTTGTTCTTTTCTTTAATAATAACTTTTCTCCGGGAAAGAATCACACCACAAAACGACGCCGTCAAAGCCAGATTGTGGGGAAGATGAAGATCATCGCCGTTTCATACAAACTCAGGTTTCGATCGAGAAAGAAAGCAGAGTATTCATACACTCAGCACTTTCTTTATAAAGGCTCATTGGATTTGTTGAAGCAGTAAGTAATCTCCCTATAACTGTTTTAGGAACAAAAAAAACACGTGCAAGTTAAAAGTTTGCGACAGAATCAGAACCGAGAGGCCATTAATTTGAGGCCTAATTTATTAAATGGACTTAATTTCCATCACTCTTTATGTGGGGCCCATGGGCTTCATCGACAGTATTTTTTACCGCATTTGGGCCTCAAAATGTTTTTTTTTTTTTTTTGTAAAATTAGGATGCGGGGTATCAATCAAGTCGGGCCAAGGAAATGATCAAAAAGGGGTTTGTGAATTTAATATTAATGGGCCCATAAAGTGAAAAAGGATCTGATTCGAGTGATGGGTTTTGGAGAAAGTCCACACTTTCAAGGAAGCCCAATTAAAGTAACTGAAAGCTGACTCTTTTTTACTTCTCTGAATCATTCACTGTTGTTTTTTTCTTTATTACAATCCGACAAAGAAAATACAATGGACGATAACCAAATTGAAGTCCCCCGACATCGTGGGAAATGAATTAGTCACGTGCACGATATAAATCCAACATAACCCCACTTCACTAAATCACGTTTGACTTTCATGCAAAGTCCACGTTTTCCAATTCAAAATAAAAATTAATTAATTCAAAGCGAGAACATTAGGAAAAAGCAACCGTCTCTTCCCTAAAAAAACCCATTGAGTTTATGCTTACCATATTATATTAGATTTCACACACACACAATATTCATAACTTGGGGGGAAATACAAGCGATTCCTACGAGGCCTACTTTACACAAGGACACTAAACAGCACGCAGTTCCTGTAGGAACTCGAACATAGCCGTGATTATCACCGCCGGGAGGAGAGCGAGCCACACTGAGAACTACCTGCCGTTTTTGCTTTATTTTCTCTCTCCATAACATAGAGAGAGAGAGAGATATACATTCGTACGACGAAAACGGCAGCACATCCTCAGTTCCTTAACACATCTGATAATTATACAATTATATAATATTAGCAGTAGCATTGTTCTCAAGCGTCGACGGGGTTGGGCTCGTCGGAAGACGACGGCGATGAAGGCATCGCCAGGCTGAGGAACAGCTCCGGCGGCCGGTCGTTGAGGCTGAGGTCAGATATTCTCAGAACCGGAGGTTGGAACATTCGGATAGGCGTCTGGGAAGATTCTCCGATCACCGGAAAAACCATCGGCTTCTCCTGACGGGAAATGGTTACGGAATCGATGGTTATGTCGAACAAGCTCGATCCACGGCGGCGGCGGTTGTTTAGGCAGTTGAGCCGGAGAAAGTATTTCTGAGCGTGACTCGCCACCTGAGTTGGCGTCCGAGTTACGACGTAGTTCCTGGAGATCGCTCTCCAATCGCCTTTCCCTAACTCATCCAGTCCCCGCAGGAAGCGCATGTGCTCTTCCTCCGTCCATGGATTCCCTGCACACAAAAAAACACTTTTTTTTAAAAAAAATCCGTCGTAAATAAAAAAAACTACTACACGTAAGAAAGAAAGAAAGGAAAGACACGATGGAGAAGAGATGTATACGCGATGTACCACGCATTCGACGGCGATTTTTCCGGGAGGCGGAGCGATGAACGGCGGCGTCGGAGACGTAGCCCCCAATTC